CCCTTGCTGATGAAACATTTGGTGCTCTGTGACTCAGTTCCTACTTCCACAGCTTAAATAAACCGGAACATACATGTTTGGAAGCTTCAGCTGAATCTGCGATACTTATCATGGCTGTCAACAGCACTGGAAGTAAAATTTTCTTCTGAAAAGAAAGTGCCTGTCTTAGCAGTGCAATTGCAGTGTCCAAACATGAGCACCGAAGAGACAGGCAAGAGCTTGTCACATGGACACAATTACAGAGAAGGAAACCAAGTAGGGTTTGGTGCATCCAGTAATTCTCTGGCACGTTAGGGGTGCAGAAGCACATTGCACTCAGTGCTTAAAAATACTGCAGCTTGCTGGGATGAGAAATGCATTTGGGATTTAGCAGCAGCAGCAAAGCTGGTAACACTGTGTGGCTAACGTCGCCACACACGTTTCACCTCGTTAAACCCTTTTTTCAGTTGCCCAGAGCTTTCCCAGAATTGAGACCTCCCAGAGGGTGCAATCCTGCACAGCAAAGCATCAGTGCTGCATAGGGTTTTCGTAGAAATAATGAGCAGAAAATTATTCTGCTACTATTAAGAAAACATGCACTGGGAAGATTAAGACATGTGAGAGACATTTTCAAAATAAAATTCCTTGTAATGTTTTTTAACACCTTCATGTGCAGGAACTGAAGCATCAGCAAAAGAGCAGTGGAGATCTGGGTTTTGCTGTTCTCATGGAAAATGCCTGTGATACGACCTCCGGCTGGGGAGCAGCGAGGGGCAGTCAAGCTCTCTGGCAACTTTCCAGTGAGGCTGAGGACAATCTGTCCCTGCACATGCTGTTTCCCTACCATTTATCTTTTTTTCCCCTTTTTCCATCCCCACCGTATTGCAGCGCGTGCTCCACTTCGGGACTGCTTGGGACTTCCCCTCCCAGCACTGGCTGCCATCACCTTTGCGAAGGGCACATTAATGGATTCCCTACTGCAAATCTACTACTTGAGCAGCCAAACTCTTCTTTTCCAACCCTCTGATCTCCTCACTCAACAGGCTTCTTTCAGTTTCTTTGTGCTCACCTGATTTCTTTCCCCTCTTCTTGCCTCATTTGTCTTAAAATGACAATGCAACCACAGCCCAACACCATTTCCTCTGCAATTGTGGTGAAAGAAATCACATTTTTCAGTCTGAGTGGTAATCACTGGCTTCATTTTTGTTAATACATACACTCCTGAAGGTTAGGGCTGCTTCCTCTGTGCAGAAAAGGCTCCTCTTTAGCATCTGTTCTGTCCTCCCTCCTCGAGGCTGTCCTGGCCCCTTTACCTTCCATTTGCTCCCAGTGCACAGTGATCCCTGGGCAACAATCCATCCACACCCTGATTGTCCTCAGCTCCTGCCTGGCCGTGCAGCAGACGGTGCAGCACTGTTCCTGCATGAGCCCACTTGCTAAGGGCAAAGCTCAGTTTTGCTGCCAGACCAGTTACAGAGGGACGGTGGGAGTAATCGCTGCGTATTACCAGTACGTCAGGCCAATACTTCCATTGCCTCCACAAACGGAAGAGACAGCATGCAAGTCACTGATCTGATTGTTTTGCCTCATCATTTGCAGCTGGTTTTTGCAGGCCCACTTTTTCCATTATTTCCCATTCATGAGTTCTTGCAAATAAAGACAGGAGATAATTTTTCAGCACTGCTAATGATGGAGTATGGTTTACCATTATCCTGGCTTTCTTTTAGCACATATCCTGCCTATCTTAGAAGAAAACATGGGAAAACATTTTAAAGGCTGATTAACACTCATAGGGATTTCACGTTCCCATGAAAGAAAATGATCGTATTACACTTCCCTAAAATTTAGTTCAATGTACTCTTACTGATATCTGTAAGTCTTTTAAGCACGGAAGACACCAAACATTTGAGGAAAAGGGAAGGAATGACAAACTGTTGGCAGACAGAAGCTATAAATAGAAACCAAAGGGAGAAAACTATCACTTCTAAATATTGTTTCTAGTTGCAACATGTTGAAGTAAACGTTCTCCAAATTAAGTATCTCCATCGAATATTTTTGAATGTTGATTTAACGTCAAACTTTTGAGGATGAAGAACAGCTCAGAGGTCGTTCAAGTCTTAATCTGCAATAAGATGACAGCAAGTAGAGTCCTGTAACTGGTACACCATTGACTTCCAGCAAAGAGCCCATTCATAGTCATGTGAGTGCAAGATTTGTCTCGATTTAGCAACACCTGTCAGCCCATGCTTACTGGTAGGCTTACGAGCTGTGGAGCTCTAAGGGAGCAAAGACGCAGCATTAGCCATGTTCCTTGGTCAGCTTGCCAGCTTTGCACAGAAGGTTGAGCAGGTAAATTCCCCTAAGCCCCCCGAGGAGACAGAGCTGCCTTCTCTAGCTGCTTAAGTATTGAGAGCTTTCAATACTACTGCAGATATTATTCCAGTACAGGATTAACTATAAAGGTACCTAGAAGAGTTCTGTGTGTAATTTTTCCTCACTGGCATGTACAGTTATTTTATTCATTCTGTTTGGGGCAGGGTTGGTTGTTTTTTACTTTAAATGTCTTCTTAAATCCCAGTGAAATCAAAGATATTCGAGCATAGGTTTAATTGCTGTACCAAATAAAAGAAGCATACATACTTAAGAGCTTGGCTAAATTAGGAGCTTATTTTGAACTAATCACAAACATAATATTCCCTCAGATCTTTGTCAGACAGTTCAACAAAGGACACAGGAGTCACAGACAGTTCAGAGATGCTGCAGGGCAAACCATTCTAACCCTGTTCCTATGGTTTTTAACATTATGGATTTTATACTTATGTTGCCAAATGCTCAGAAACATGCTGAAGGATCTCTACATATTTCTACTCCATTGGAAAAATATATTTCATAGTTACTAGAAAAAGTGCGTATGTTTGTATGAGCTTCAGTCATGACGGATCTTCACATTCCTCAAACAGTGTTTTAAGTTTGATTTATTCATAAATGTAATTTTTGTCTTAATGGCATGAAATCAACAAAAATGGCATTTCATTTTTCATAGTAATAATTCACCAGCATTAATGATAAGGAAACCCACTATTGCTTTTGTATAATTAACAGACTACAAATTATTCCCATTACTACCAGAGAAACAATACGAGCAACAGGACTGGTGGCGTTAAGAGAACCAATACCGTGGATCAATGTCATATTTACTAATGCAAATTAAGCCACAGCCTATCAGGAGCCAGCTTGCTCAAAAAGATGATGCCACACTTCCAACCTTTAAGGATCAAACCTATGTAAAGGATTATTAAATGCAGCAATTGTTGCTGACTTGTACAGAAAACTGGTGGCTCTTCCCAACGTGTTTTGTATGACAATGAATGCATTGATAATGATGGTTTCATGGCAATTTCAGTCTGAATCCAGGCCTATTCTTTTTTTTTCATTAATAAATTAAATTTCACATAGATTGAATTACAAATCCATCCAAACTCAAATTTTGAAACTCATCTGCTATATACTCTACTTTTTTTTCATTATGACAACAATTTCGTGAGCTGATGCAGGACAATCAACAACATCTCTTGCTGTAAATGGGAACGTGCTGCAATATTGTAGGCTGTCCACATACATTCATAGTGCTAAATAAGTGCTATCTGTGAATGTAAAATCTGACAATTCTAATGAATGTCTTGAAAATCTACTGTTTAGTAACATTAAAACTGAGACCTCATTACAGATGACCATTTTTTGTGGGCATAAGTCCATTAAGTGAACAATGTATTCTAATTGTATCTTAATGTGATGCCTGGAAATCATATATATCATGAAAAGGTAAAAACTGTGTATGTCCCCATTCAAAGTCAAAAATCTCTTTTCTAAACAAATCTGCAAAAAAAGTTTTGACATTGAATTTGGGTGGGTTTTTCCCTTTTTCTGGAACAGTGTCATTTTTGTCATTATTCTAATACTGCTAACCATTTTATGACACAGAATAGTTGATTTGTTTCTAATACTACTATACAGTAGGCTTGTATTTTCCCCCTCAAATTCTACTGGGAAATCTCACCTTGTAAAAATAATTCAATGTTCTTGGAGTAGCTATTAACGTTTTTTTTTTCTATGTCATTCCATACACATTATCATGTCGAGACTCAATATGTGGGTCTCAACCTATCTTCTTATTTTAAGTTTTGAGTCACCAAAAAACCATGCTTTATATTTAAATATTATAATCTTTTGTTTTCTGCTCATTACATTATTTCTATCTATACAATTGCAGCATAGTCACTGCTCTGATCATTTTTCTCACTCTCCTGTGGGCTGGTGATTGTTACCCTTGGATTTGTGGATGTTTTTCCAAGACAGGAATCAACCTAGAGAAAAAAGACAGGTATTGTTAACTTCATCGGGTAACAAAGACTTTCCACAAGATATTCTTAAGGTGAAAAAATATCTTCCAAGAGTACTCACATTAACATTTTTATTCACCTTATACTTATATACCTTCCGAAGAAGAAAGTACTCAAATTAGAGCTTCCCACCCAATTCTTTCATCAAACATCCAGTAACCCATATATCCATTTAAAGTGAATGCTCACTCACTTTCTCCACTTCCATAAATAACTTCAGCTTTTCTAAACCCAAACAAAATAATCAATATATCAAGCATAGAATAAATTCAAGGCCCAAGAAAATGTGACGTTACTTGGCTCTCTTAATTGAAAAATGTTGTTTGTCATATAGAAACCAAAGAAAGTCCATTTGCAAGGTGCAAGAAACCATTTCCAGTGTCGTAACAAGCAGAGGAAGAGTTTTACAGCCATCTATGGCAGAGAATATGCAGCAATTTGGTCTGCTTCAGATGCTCAAGAATCTCCCTCTTCCCAGCTCTGGACTCTCCCCATCAAACAAAACACTTTGTCTCCTACATTCCGTTTGCTGGTCAGTTCACCTGACAGCCAGGGTGGTTCACTGGGTATTTCTGGGCTACACGCCTCCATCTCAGCCACCAGCATGTTACCGTGTCTCCTAAATTCATGGGATGTTTGCTTTCACACCGAATACAGCCCCTTGCTTTCAGGATCTCGTTCAGCTCCGCTGTCTTTTCCAATTCCTAAGGAAAGGGGATGAAACTTCCACAAAGCAATGGCAAGAGCCCTTTATGAAACACAGCTTCTGTGCCAGCCAACTCCTCAAAACAGTGAGGCACTGGGATTCCACGAACACACCCTTCTGCTCCGCCCTAAGGGACAATGTAGTGTGGAAATATAGAATAATTACGCTTTTCTGGAAATGGCAAGATTTTTTTTTTTTTTTTTCCCAAATTCAGCATACTCAGGAAAGCAGGAGATGCAGATCCATCAAATACCAAGAAACATCTGCTTTCTCAGTTGGGAGGGCATATAATGTAATTACTGATGTAACTGATCTAGACAGATGGAAAACAGCTTTTCCCACAAACTGAAGTTCTCATAAATGATCTCAGGACTTTATCAGGAGAGAGCTACTTAGAGACCACCTGAGAAGCCTACGGGTGAGATGAATGAGGAACAATAACTGAAGAACCACAAACTGAAAGAACACTTACCTGTTTCTGACTGTCAGAATCCTCTTCTTTTATTTCTTCTTCAGGCTCAACATCACCTTGGTAGTTCAAGTGCTCCATTCCCTCACCATTTTCTTCATTTTTTTTTCTGTGTAAATGGATAAGTTCCTTTTCCTCTGCTTGGTCAACATTCTCTGTTTCTTCTGCTCCACCTTCATAATTCCCATTTAATTTCTTCTTGTTTCCTTCCACTTCCCTTCTTTCTTTAACGGTTTCCTCTTTCTCCTCTCCATTCACTTCTGGATATTCTCCCTCTCCTTTATATGCTTCATCTCCCCTGTCATCTTCCTCTTCTGCATTTTCTTCTTCATCTACAGTTTCTGCTGGCCTCTGGAGAAAGGAAAAGCAGACGCATTGTGAGGCATTTTTAATCGGGATACTCCACATAATTCTGAAATGTGACAGACATCAAAATCACAACTACATCATTACTGGGGAGTAGGTATGCTAATTGGAGGTTTGTCTACATGGTCAGAAAATGATGCCTCTGTACTAATACCCCACAATGCACTCTTATTCTACATAAAAACTGTGTTAGCGAGATTTGAATCTATTACACTGGGTTAATCCACTTGACCATACTCGAAACAACTGGAATGAGCTAGGTTTAAATAATACAGCAACAGCTATTTGGTTCCAGCTGCTCCAGGTTTTCAGACATTCTAGCATTTAGTACGTACTTGTTTATAAAATCCTGTCACAATAAAACATCATGCGTTACTAACCCACAAACTGTTCTCCAAGAAGCATTTTACCTATGGAGGAGGCCACACCATGCCAATCCATCCTATTGTGCAGCCTGTCCTCTTTGTATCCCCAGAAATGTAGCTAGAGAGATGAGGCAGACCTACTAGTCACTTCCATAACATCATTCTTCTTCCCAAAGACCCTTATGTCAGGTGGCACGGTTAGAATTTGTTTGACAGTTATTTTTTCCCACACAGTCAAATCAATAGATGGGAGGAACAGGACCTTGTCCCATATTGAAGAAGAGCAAGCAGAAACTCACTATAGATAAAGCTGATAGCAGCATCGTTTCATGAAGACTGATGTACATATTATCGAGTTTTTGTCATTTGTCTTCCAGTTTCAGCTTTGAATATTCACCTGACTATTCAGTGAACCAATGCCCCCGCTGCCAAGATAACTTACCTATTTGTGCTAAGGTTTGAATGAAAATAAAGAGAAAAAAAAAATCCCACAGGAGTGACAGGGTGTCTGCCTCCCACACAGCCTCATCGGACTCTAAACAGCTGAGGGAAATAGATCATCTCTTAATCCAAAGCGTTTGGAATTCTGCTATCATTAGCAGCTCCTTTATGCCAGCAGCTATCTGCTACAGACTTCTCTTCTAAAAAAACTCTTTCCCTCACTAATGCTAACATTTCAAAAGGATTCTGTCATCACCTTCAACATATTAATACCAACACTTGATGAAACGCCTTGCTTTTGCTTTGATATCCAGGTAGCAACATAAACCAACTTTTTTAAGCCAGTGCACAATATCATCTTGACACAGCTTCAAACAGGACAAGTTATTGCACTGTAACAATCCACAGAATGACAAATGGCTAGCAATATTGAAAGGCATATTCAACCAAAGGCACATAGAACAACTGAAGTAATTCCCAACTTCATGCTGGAAACATGGACCCAGCATGGCTTCTGGAAACCTCCTGACTTACTGGCAGGCTGATGAAGAACAGAGTGAATTTCATTTTGCATTCAAGAAGCACGATTGCTTGATGGTATTTTGAATGTCAGCAAAACCAGAGCGTTTAAAAAAGAAAGATGTATTCCAATTACACTCATCATGTTATCATTCCTTAAGAGCTACATTACCAAATGCCATCATCATTCAAAAGCAGCAAGTCAGGAAATCTTCAGGTATTGAAGCATTTGGCTTCTTTTCCTCTAGGAATGCTAATGTGACCTCTGAGAAGGTACATGACTGGTACTAGAATATTGAAAAGTGCAGTATCATAAGTCATTTAAGGTGGAAATTATTTTGAACCATTAATGTAAAACACAACTTTGTTTTCTTGACGCCATTTGGAAATGGCTAATTGTCACAACAAACAATGAGGTAGACAACAAAATCTCAAAGGTCACGAATATGGGCATGAATACCTCTCACAAATGCAGCATCAGGAACGCTTTGCTTGCACCAAACCTCTCCAGAGCAGAGCATTCTCTGTTCTTCCCGAGTCAAGAGTGCTTTGTAGTCACACTGAGCAGATTCCAACAGCAAAACATTTTGTTCCTGAACCAGAGAGGGTTGCTATGTGACAGCAGCCCTCTTCTCTTCCACATCATTTACAAAACCCAGGCTCTTAAAAACTAGAAAATGAGTAGTTAGAGGTTCGTCAGTCTTACACATCCCACACAGTAAATGTGCTGCTGTTCCTGAAGGCAAAAAAAGTCTTTATCTCCACAACCTTTAAACTCTAACCTTTTTATGGGTTGGATGCATTATTTTATCTTATTTTTTACAACAAATGCAGCACGTGAGTCCACAGAGTCTTAATTTTTCATAAGATCAGAGCATGCAGAAGTCTAACTGGAATGAATGGAACTATGTAACTTGAAGTGTAGAAGAAAGAGTTTGTCAGCTCCATTCCTCAGTTTCATTGTGTGGTAACTGGAAGCATGCATAATTCCTTAGTCACAAGACAGCCACGGCAGAAAAGAAAACATCTGATCAGATCCTTACTTTTTTAACATGTACCTAAGTCAACAATATTTTTCTCTATTTCTCTGATCGTCATGTTTATTTTTTCCATAACATTTTCCATGTGTACATTAAAATTTACCTAAACTTCACACCCTACAATATAGTATGATCTGTTCAGCATCCCTGTAGACAATGAGGAGATTGCTATGCATATAAAAAGAAGCCCTACTGAGGTTGCAAAAATACAGAATTATTTTTTTTTCGAGAAACAGACTCTTAGAATCACAGAATGGTTTGGGTTGAAAGGGACCTCAGAGATCTAGTTCCAACCCCCCTGCCATGGGCAGGGACACCCTCCACTACACCAGGTTGCCCAAAGCCCCATCCAACCTGGCCTTGAACACTTCCAGGGATGGGGCAGCCACAGCTTCTCTGGGCAACCTGTTCCAGTGCCTCACCACCCTCTGAGTGAAAAATTTCTTCCTTGGATCTAATCTAAATCTCCCCTCTTTCAGTTTAAATCCATTGCCCCTTGTCCTATCACTACATGCCCTTGTAAAAAGTCCCTCTCCAACAGTGAATAAAAAACGCCCTAAAAGTAAAGCAATCAGAGAAATTGCTTTAGGATTACTAGATTTTTTTCAAGACAGGTGCACACAGAGAGAGGTAACTTTTTCCAAAGCGGTATCAAGACTAGTTTTCCAACAGAAGTGCATTTGCAGGCTTCACTCAGAAGAAATGAAGGCCCACCAACAGCTGGCCACACAGGCCTGTAAAGAAAAGATCACATTGTGCTGCCATAGCTTTGGGAATCCCAGCCATCCAATGTAGAAATCAAGGGAAGATCTCTCCTCATTCTGAGATGCAAGGAACCAACAGAAAAAGTTTCCCTATCTCGCCCAGACAAACAATATAAAAATGTAGTGTCAATCAGAAGAACATGAATCTTATCTGCTGGCTTGTCAGTACTCAAAACCCAGAAGGCTTCAATTACAGCTGCATCATTTGCAGCAAAATTTGAGCATGAAAAGTTCTGCCTGTATTCTTTCCAAATGCCATTTCGAAATCCCTCCTGATGTAGTGCAAAAGGTTTCCTCATGAAAAGCTCTAGCCTTTTTAATCAAGGAATGTCTCTTCGAGCAGTCAGCCTGTTTTCATGTTGAATCAATGCAAACTTCAACATTTTGCCTTCAGCAATAGGGAAGACAAACATTTTGTTCTGCTCACTGAGGTGAATCTTGGGTCTCTAACGCAAAACGTATTCTCCGTAATGAAAACTGCAAATGAAAGGTGCAAATTTTCTGCTACTGATGATACACTCCAGACACAGAGAGAGCACCTAGGGGAGCTACACAATCTCACATCACAGCCCAGGAAATGGGGAATAATGAATGGCATCAGGACTGCATTAATCAGTGGAAACGTCTAATAATGGAAAGCAAATCGCTACTGAAAGAACCAAGCATGTGAACATCTACAAAAAAGACCCAAATCAGTGCCTGTCAAGACAAATTTATCATCCCGTGATTTTTACAAATAAACACAGAAAGACAGTGGGAGGTGGGGATTATGAATCTGCAGGGTGAAAAAAAAAAACAACACAACAACAAAAACCCAAACAGATTCATAGATTCATTCTACATCACTTACATCTTAATAGCCAGTATCATATCCCCGCAGCAAAGCAGGCTGGCACAGCAACATGCCTGAATTCCTTTTAGGGATCATAGAATCATAGAATCGTCTGGTTGGAAGAGACCTTCAAGATCATCGAGTCCAACCATTCACCCTGCACTGTCAGGGTCCCTAAACCATGTTCCTCAACACCAAATCCACACGGTTTTTAAACACCTGCAGGGATGGGGAGGGACTCCACCACCTCCCTGGGCAGCCTGTTCCAATACTTCACAACCCTATCATGCACTGGACAACTCATATCCCATAAGTCTCACACTTACCTGACCTCCCAAGGACTCAGTGTGGGAGAAGAACAAACATTCTTATGGAAATAGATAAAGCAACGCAATCTCGTAGTGTTATTTCAACACTATTACTACCAACTGCTGGTTTTGCATTTCACAATGTATATAAAATTAAAGAAAAAGTAGTAGCTTGTTCTGAAAGCTTTACAAGTTCAAAAATTTTCTATCTCAGAGTTACTATTTATATTATTAACAGCAAACTTAAAGTAACACACTTAATTGCTATTTCAAATAAGAAACTTGTATTGTTTTGCTGCCTCCCTACCAAGAACTGCAATAAAGCTACCTTGTTCCTGGGCTATTTGCAGAACTGATTTCATAGTCTGTCATCAGTTCCCATGAACAGTGATGTAAACAACCAACCTGGAGTAAGTCTGCATGTCAAAAGAAGAAATTATCCATTGTGTATTTAGAAGCTGAAGTCTTGGTACAGAATATAGAACAGAAGGGGCTGGTTTGCTTTTGGGCAAAACACTGATTTTTCCTCCTTGATGTTCATTCACAACTGTCAGCTAGTCAGGAGTAAAGAAAATTCTGTTCTTTTAATGTGTTCTCAGCTGTCAGAGAGTGTTTTGCAGAACAGCTAGCGGGTGTCTAGCCAGTGTTACTCTAAGTTTAGTTAATGGCTCACCTGGCATTTGTTCAACCGTGTGCTTCCAACGCCAAAGTCAGAGAAGGTGCATGAAAAGAAAAAAGATTAAGCTCTTTCTTCACCACCTCATTTACGTGGCTGATGGAAATGATAACATTTCAGAAGTGTCAGCATTCGCGTGAAAGTGAGCATGTAAATATTTATGCATTATGCAAGGTGGTCAAGCCCTGGCTGGCTGCTCTTTTCTATATTTCTAGCAAAAACAGAAACTGTGGTTCAAATAAGAAAAAGCTAAAAAGCTATTTCATCACAGAATTTAAAATTATTTCAAATAGTCACTAATAAGAACTTGAACATGTAAAATGCTAAATGCTTCCAAGGTCTGTAACCTCAGTTATCTGGGAATAAAAAGTACATGAAGTTTTAAAATGAGAAATAAAACATGGCTTGAGTTGCAATAAATTTTGGTGCTTTGCTTGGCTTTTCTGAAAACATGAAAATCAAATTATTAATAGTGTGCATGGCTGACTTTTTTTATTCCTCAAACACACCTGCTTTCAGTTCCTTATCCAGGTAGCAAAATCAGTTGGTAATAACTGAAAAATCTGAGGACAATGCATGAGCCTTGGCGTATGAGCTTAGAGGTATCAAGCAAGTTCCTAGCGTTGCAAGCTTGCCAGTACAACCAGTGTTCACTGGCAACTGCATCAACAACCACACCTATTGTTTGCCACCCCTGCTTTCTCTAGGGTCTTAAACCCTACCATTTCATGGCCACCTGAAGCAACCAAGGCCACCACTGAGTATCACATCCCCAGCGCTTCCTCTTTATTCATGAGTAGCAAATCCAGCAGAATGTCTCTCCTAATCACCTATCCCACTACCTACATCAAAAAATTGTCTCTAACACACTCCAAAAATCTCCTAGATTGCTGGCGCCATCGGTAGTTAAAGTGCATTTAGAAACAACTGGTTTTAACTCCCTCTCTCCCATTTGTTTACAATCTCCCATTAACAATTGTTCTAAGCACTGAGCTGAAGTGGCAGAAAAGTGCTCAAGAATCCCTTATGTTGGAGAAATCAGGAGTCTGAGAAAGCTGTTGGGAAAACTCTGATTCCTTACACTGCAGCGTGGGTCATAAATACAATCGTGTGGCCCAGGTGGTGGCCCCAGGCCATGATCAACAGACACCAAAAGCACAATGCAACATTTGGTGGACTGGACACAAAGTTGGCAAATGCCTACAAACACGTTAAGATGTAAAAGAGGACTGTCTTGTGAGCAATTCACTAGCAGAGAAAAAAAAAAAGGTAAGTTTTTGGCAAAAAATTTAAGGAGTTCTACTCTCCACTTCACTGGAATAAACTTCAACTTATCTGTTGAAGTAACAGTAATAAACATTAAGTTTTACTTCCTACATTAGTTCAGTTCACAGGAGTTTCTTTTAAAAACAAATCAAAGTAAAACGAAGGGGATATAATCTTATGTCTAGTTATCGAGACCTATTCATTGCATGTAAGTCTTACAACAAAAAAGTTGGCCAAGTAAGTACCCTGTTGTTCCAACAGAAAAAAGTGCTGGCAGCTTTAGTAAAAATCAGATAAATCCACACCTGTTTGTGCTTCAGGACTGCAGCAATTCCGACCTGGATTCTGTGCCATAGCCCCTTTACATTGCTCCAGCAGTATGAAGGGACTGCAATTCAGGTGGATCTATAGGGTAGGTAGGGAGTCCTGACCCTCTAAGGCCCTATAAGAGCTCTCAGAGCAGTTCTCAAGCTGATGTTTGATGACAAGGTCACTGATATTTCACACATTAGCAGAGAAATAAAGGTTTGCCAAAGCTCCCAGAAAAGAAACCCTATTGTTGAGCTGTTACAATCGGCCCCACAGAATTATGCTGTACGCTTGGAAGAAACCGAGGAAAGAAAAACAACGCAGAACCCATGATCCTAAAAAAGGCCTTTCATTGAAACTCGATCAATACCTGGTCTAGCGGAACTTCTACACGAGTATCTTCATCTTCCTGCACTTCGGCTGCCCCCCATTTTTTTTCCGCTCTTCTCGGGCTCTGCCAAGACCTCCACCTGCAATGGGGGAGAGACAGGGTGGAAGAAAACGAAGCCCAAGTGTGACACAGTGTGGCACAACTACCAAACTGCATTCAAGTTTGTTTCTGGGAGCAGGTTTGTGGGCTGAGCCACCACCCCTGTACGTTTCTTTTAATGAAGTTTTCACTCTCCTGTTATTGTCAATTTGTTTTCCTTTCTTTTTTTAATAACAAATACTTACACGCTACGCCACGTGGGGAAAGGAAAGGAAACAGAGACTGAACAAAGCCCTGGATCTGAAGTTCCTGCACTTCTGGCAAAGGTCAGGAGTATTTATCAGCAACAGCAAATTTATAACTGCCCAAAACATTTTAACTAACAACACATCACCTGATACATGTTACCAGATGTTCAGTGTATTGTGCAGTCACTCAGTTTAGTATGCAAAGAGAGAAGCAATGAATTGGTGGACGTACAACAGATAAAACCTTGGCTGGAGTGCAAAGATCATTTTTTGTCTGATGCCATCCAGTATTTCAGCTGGAATCCTTTTGCACGCTTCAACAAACAAGAAAGTTATATGACTTTATTAAATAGTAATTGAGTTACACATTGAACTAACTCGTAAGAGATCTATACATTTTAAAAAAATCAAGCCTAGCAATTAATGCTTCTTGTATAAGCTCCTTTCCTAACCAGCATTAACAGTAAAATAGTTATTACAGCACAAATTACAAGATTATACAGTCACTAATGCATTTCAAATTTTAAACTGATTGAAGTTTAGCAGTATGGATAAAAAAAACCCCACTATTGTAATAATAGCCTGCCCTCAATATTTTATGGAAATCAGACGCGTTTACTAACTGCAAGTTCTGTATGTAAGTGAGGAAGTTAATGTGATTATAAAAATATAAAAAGTGGCTTACCACAGAGGCTGCCTCATAAAAATGGTAAATCAAATTAAAAACAGAATGTAAAAAATCTGTGGTTCATTAATTTGAATAGATTGCTATGAGGAACATGGAGAATATGTGTGTATTAAACAGAAGAGAATTTTTTTTTTTTTTTTTTTTTTTTTTAATTAGTCATAATATGAGGTTTTTTTCTTCCTTCTCTTTTTGCTTTGGTCCTTCACCTCATTTATTCTCCATGTTCTAAGTATATAATTATATATATAATTTATAATTATGTATATAATTTATTCATTTATTTCAATGACAGATCATGAAGACCATTTGCATTTTGAAATTAATAAAGCAGCTCCCGTTCAGCCACATCTTTTTTATTTCCACGCCTGATCCAAAACGCAGCTTTCTCTTGGGTCCAGCTGGGTCCAAGAGCTGAATTGTCACAAAGCAAATGCAAAAGCCCTGAAAAGTCTGTCCTGGTCCAGTCAGTCCAAACTGAGCACCAGTACACCTACACTCCATCCTGCAGCGAGTTAAGCAACACGGCTTTCCTGCTACCAAGTACCATTTGCCTGGTTTATGTTTTGCAATGCATTCATTTTGCTAAAAACAAAACCAAACTCACCAAGTGCTCGAAGAAAGAGGTTGCCAAGTTTACCATCATCTCAATGGCATTAGTATATTCTGGCTACTATACACACTAACAGCATCAAAGGTTCTCATTTCCTACTACAGATCGTGATTTTATCTCCTATCATGCGAGGAATAAGCTACAGCTCCTGTAAAATCTCTGCAAATAAGAAAGAAAATGATCTCTCTCTCCGCAGCACAGTTTTTGCCTGCTTTGACAACACAGAAGTGATACGGCCCATGTGTCTATG